CTCATTACAACTATATTGCCAGGTTGAACGGTTTTCTTTTTGGTTACTATCTTTATCAACCTTTGTCCATACTTCAGGCTGACTTCCTAGAGGGTGACAAACGGTCAGCCAGTCAGTGAAATCTTTCTCCAAATACTTGCTGTTCTTTTATAATGACCTGTAGAGTTTGTTGATAAACACACAAAATACTGACACATTACTGCTAATTTAATTCAGTTAAACAGCATATTACGATTCGCTGAATTCATACTGAATTATTAAAGAACACATTTTTCAGCGTTATATTGTAATAACTTGAACACGGAAGTGTTTCCTATACTCATGTTTCACATGTTTAACTACTCTTACGCCATCGATACTGCGAGTATTGCATCGAATGATGGCAACTTTCAGAATAACCACATATTTTATATAAATAACGTCTGTATTAGCTGTACCCAGTCTAATGGTCTATTAGATACTCACACAATAGAAGTGCTCCGCATCTTAACCAACTGCTTCATGGTGAATATTATATGCGTCTTCGGCATCGTTGGAAACTGCATTAACATTGCCGTTTTGTGCCAGCACGGATTTCGTGAAACGACTAACATTATTCTTGTTTCCTTATCCGTATCTGACCTTTTATACTGTTTGGTTGTACCCGTAACCAAAATACGATGTGTTATTATGTTTTTTAGTGAAGCCATGTCTATCACGGCGCACACGTTTGGCACGGTCTACTTGTTCATGCCCAAATTCGTTTGTCTGGCCAGCAGTTTTACTTACGTTTCCATCATTGCTGTGGAGCGCTTTTTTGCGGTGTTTTTCCCGTTCCGTGTCACGAAGATCTTCAGCCGACAGACCATGAAGGTTCTTGTTGTGTCAGTCCCGATGTTCACTGCAACCTCACTTATCCCAACATTTTTCGCATTAACGTACGAATGGGTTCTAGACCCTAGATATAACATTACTGTTGCCGCGATGAGGTATACAGAGTTTTATGTAGCTTACCAGTCTTTCATTGACCCTTACACTTGGGTTGGTCTCAGCAACGGATTTTGTGCTTCAAGTTTACTCGTAGTAGTGAGCTGCTGTATCGCTATAGGGATAAAACTCATCCGAGCCGTGGTTAAGAGGCAAGAGATGACTGGTAGAGCTGCAACTAATGATAAAGCAGTTAAAATGTTGGTAACGGTTTGTGTTGTATATATCGCCATTGCTATACCAATAGTAACCCTGTACTCTTATTATCAACCCGCATTCATTTTCACATCAACGTTGTACGAACTTGTAGAAAGCATTGCAGTTCTTCTGAGTTGTATCAACGCATCTGCCAATTTTGTCATCTATGTGACTATGTCTGAGAAGTTTGCCAACACTTATAGAAGACTGCTGTCTTGCTCCGGTGGAATGTTTCGGCGCGGCAGCAAAGGTTACACATCGAATACTATCTCACGTTAAAATGCGTGGACGATTACGACTATTTTACATAAGCACCATTCCCCACTAAAAACTTGAAGTCTAAGCTGTCGCGTAGAAATGTGAAAAAAGAAATTTTGAAAGAACATAACCTTTTACCCGTCAGGGTTGTGGAAATGTTATTGAAGATACAAGATCGAAAACACACTTATCAAAAGCAATCTGTCAACTGCTATGAGACGGCAAATTTGTTTGTAGACAGTTTTTCTTCTATATTCTGTGCTAGCTTTTATTTTTTATGCAAAATACTTCAAAGCTATGAAGTCACACAGTCAAGCATCTTTTCTTCTAATTTCCTTCTGCCAAACTTCTACTCAAACTTTCTGTTATCAAGAAGTACCGAGTTTTATAACTATTCATGACCTGTTAAAATACTATGAATTGTTTGTTTGGTTTTGCTATTTTTTTCTTCTTCTGTTTCATTCCCCTCCTCTTTCTTCTTCTTCTTCTTCTCTCCTCCTCCACTTTCTTTATCTTCTTTTTCTTCCTCTTCTTCTTCTTCTTCTTCTTCTTCTTCTTCTTCTTCTTCTTCTTCTTCTTCTTCTTCCTCCTCCTCCTCCTTCATCTTCTTCTTTCTGTTTAATAGTATAAAATAATCGATTCACTCACTCAGAGCATTTAATTACATTGTATAATTTACTAGGGAGAATTCTGAAGGTGTGGCCCTAATTTCAGTAAGTTTCCTGTCGGTCATTATAGTTTCAATCCAGTTAATACATACAGGCACAGCGAACAACTGGCATAAACATAAATATTGGTTATATAAACACAAAAATAATTACATTTGGCTTCAACTTGAAAATACTAGCATCCATTCACAATTCACCTGCTGATACTTTTATCGTTCAAGGAGACACGTTCTCATATTTACTTATCTCTTTATTTACTTTTTCTGTGTCAACGATTTTTTTTTAACATCGCTATTGTTATTACTGGAATTATATTAACTTCTTCTTCTTTCGTTCGCCTGAAATAAGTTGTCTATACCAGCAGTTTTGTCTCTTTTATAAATTTCACTGTCGTTATTAGTTCATTCAGTGGTCCATAGAGTTTACGTTCCACTGTTCTTTCTGGCCAAAAGGTTTGCCTTAATGTGTCAAATTCGGTGCGGTCCTGGAGTACATGCTCTGTTATCTGGAGCACCTTTCCACAGGTGCGCATGGCTGATATACCTAACTTGAATTCTGTGTACATGTGGTTACGTAATCGGTTGTGTACTGTTCTGAGGCGGAGGATAATGACTTGTTCTGGTCTGTCCATAATAAAATAGCCGTCTTGTGCTGGGGCTGGTGGTTTCCTGTTCGATTTAATGATTCTTTTCTTTTGGTAGTATGTGACTGGAACATCTGGCTGCACTTTTGTCGCACCTTCCCCTGCCAGCTGATCAGCTTTCTCATTTCCAGGCACTAAACAATCAGACGGTATCCACTGCATTACGACTCTTCGCTGAAGGCCGAGTTGTGTCAGCAGTGTTTGCAATTCTGGTAGTTTCCTAGACTGGGGTGCTTCAAGTACGGATTTAGCATCTGTCAGTATTACCACATACTGTGTAGCAGTTTCTCTGTTGCTATCTGTAAAGCTTGAGTTTCTGCATCATAGTTATGGCAGTACTTCCCGGTTGGTACGCTGGACTTATCCCTAGTACTATCTGGGAATTCTATGTACACTTCAGCACCACAATTTCTAACTGAACTCTGTGCGGACCCATCTGTATAGACTCTAACCCATTGTTCTTGTGGGTATTCTTCATCAATATAACTGAGGGTGGTCATTATATCTTGCTCTTTCTTGTCAAATATCCCTTTCACATTTGTCTGGATTTGTACTGTTAGTTTGCATTTTTCTCTCCATGGGGTTTGTTCCGGAATACTTTTAAGTGGGCAACCAATTTCTGGAAAGTCAGTAGTTTGTCTACATATACTTTTTGCTTGGTGTATAAAGCTGCATCTTTTTTACCATCCCAAGGCTAGGTTCTGAAATCAATTTGTCATCGGGTGATCTGGCACACTGAGTAACTTTTCAGCTTGTATTTGCAACTTTGTATCTCTGCGTTCTCTCAGTGCCTGATTATATTAACAATAATCATCCTTTCAAAATTATGTGTAACAGAAGGATGGACGGAAGGATGGGTGAATGTTGAATGTTGGATTAGGAATCGACATCACAGCACTGGGGACACCCCTATAAGCGCTCCGTCCTCATCTTCTGCAGCAAGCGAAGAGTTCCAATTTCGATGGCACCATTAACTGTCTGATTGTATATCAGTCTCGCCTTTTCCCTGAGTGTTGAGCGGCGGTCAGTCCCCTTGTAACTTCTCGCTGCGCCATTCTTCCCAGGCCGTAATGATCTAACTGTGCCTCCGCTCTGTTCAATCTCTTCCAGAGAGCCCTCACAACATCTAGCTTGTCGTACATCAGATCACCACCAAATGGTGCAGAACCGGCCAGTCTATCTGCCTGCTTATTTCCCAACATACCCGCATCACCTAGAGAAAATATCTGTATCCAAAGAATGCTAACTACCCGGGACCCTGAAATGATGTTTGCCACTCTGCACGGGGCATGCCTATATTCACCTTTCTCAGTATGATCTACGAGTCAGTTACAATTACGGCATGTGTGTACAGCTGATTCTCAAGCCAGCGGAAGGCAGCAGTGACTGCCTCCACCTCCATTCTTAAACTAGACGTTGTGATATCATATGCCAGGCTTTGCTGCACCAAGTGACGTCCATTTCCTTTTGCTATGAACCCCCATGCACTTCGTCTACCCCTCAATATAGATAATCACATCACCTGGGTGGGATTCGTCATGAATACTGTGTTATGTCCTGGTGTGGTTTTTGAGGAGAGGCAGATATAGACTGTCCTTTGTTACACCCTCTGTAAACGTTAAGACTGTTTTATGCTAAATGTTTGTTTTATGCTAAATGTAAATATCTTCTTCTTTCTCTTTTATGCTTAAATGTAAATGGGGCATGTCTTTTCAAGGTCTCTGGCAAAGCCTAACTGTTGCCATATGTCCTCCGCAGCTCTCATTCCCTGTTCCCGAAGGCACTCAGTAGAGCTTACTTTATGCTGTTTATTTTCTTTACTGGTCCTTCAGAGTGTTTTCTTCTTTTTCCGTAGTGTTATCGCCCTGTTTTCTGATTTACTTTGAGAGAGTTTACGGACTTCTAGAAAAGATAGGCTGGTAGGTCTGTGGTTTGTTACTGTGCCCCCCTTCCCCTGGCTAAAGCATCCCATTGCTTTTCCCCAGTGAGACGGAATCAACTGCAAGTGAATTTCCCCAACATCCCTGTCTCCTTTCTTCCTCGCCCCCTCCCTTACTTGGCTGTGGACCCCCCCCCCCCCCACCTCTTTTCTCTGATGTTAGTTTGCATGTCTGTATAGTCCCTTTTGTATCATCCACTCATGTAAATACGTTGATACTATATATTTATTATCTAAATGCAAAATGAATGACATGCTTTGAATTTGTTTAAACGTGAAGCGTCACAGGTCTGTCTCTCCTTGAAACCCTACTCTGGCTCTCGAGCCAGAGGCCGCAGAGTAGCCCGGTCGTAATGGCTAGGGCGAAACGCGGTTTCTGAGACCACTCCACGGGTGATCCTCGCCCACATCGTGACACTTCGGTGTCATCAAGTGTTTATCGCCTGTGCGACGTCCTAGTGGGGTCTCAAGGGAAGATGGATACGGACTGTCTCACCACCTGCCAGATCGTTTTACGATGGCTAATGTAATGTTGACGAGTGGCCCTAACTGTCATCCTTCTCTTCCCCGCCCCTTTCCGCTTACGTGGTTGTTCCCCCTTCCCTTTCTCTGATGTTAGTTTATATGTTCGTAAAGTCCCCCTCTGTGTTTCTCCACTCTTGTAAATATATTTATGCAATGTATGTTTTTCTTTAATGCAATATTTTAACCTGCTATGTAAATTGGTAATTGTGAAGGGCGGCGGCGTTTGTCCCTCACTCGAAGCCCTACTCTAGCTCTCGAGCCAGAGGACGCAGAGTAGCCCGGTCGTAATCGCCTAGGGCGAAACGCGGTTCCTGGGACCACTCCACGGGCTATCCTCACCCACATGGTGGCACTTTTGTGTCATCGGGTGTTTATCACTTGTGTGATGTCCCGGTGGGCTTTCGAGGGGAGAAAATTCCGCTGGCTAATGTAAATATGACGAGTGGTCCTAACTATCATCCTTTTTCTCCCCCGCCCCCGTCCGCTTATGTATTCGTGTCCCTTTCCTTTCTCTGATGTTAGTTTATATGTCCGTAAAGTCCCCTCTGTGTTCTGCACTCTTGTATATAAATTTCATGCAATGTATTTTTTTTTTTTTTTTCTGAATGAAATATTTAACACGCCATTTAAATTGTTGACTGTAAAGTGCCGCAGATTTATCTCCCATTTAGAGCCCTACTCTGGCTCTCGGGCCAGAGGCCGCAGAGTAGCCCGGTCGTAATGGCTAGGGCGAAACGCGGTTTCTGGGACCACTCCACGGGTGATCCTCACCCACATGGTGGCACCTCGTTGTCATCGGGTGTTTATCGCCTGTGCGACGTCCTGGTGAGGTTTTTCAAAGGGAGACAATTTTTAAAAAAAAACTGTTTCATTTCTTGCCAGATAGCTTTACGCTGGCCAATGTAAATACGACGAGTGGTCCTAACTATCATCCTTTTCTCCCCCGCCCCTGTCCGCTTACGTAGTTGTGTCCCTTTTCCTTTTCTCTGATGTTAGTTTATATGTCCGTAAAGTCCCCTTTGTGTTATCCACTCATGTAAATTATTTGATGCAATGTTCTTTCCCCCTGATGAAATATTTTAACATGCCACTACAACTGTTCACTGTGTAGTATTACCATTTTGCCACACATTTGGAGCCCTACTCTGGCTCTCGAGCCAGAGGCCGCAGAGTAACCCGGCCGTAATGCTCAGGGCGAAACGCGGTTTCTGGGACCACTCCACGGGCGATCCTCACCCATATGGTG